GGTTGTTGTTGTCAATTCTATACATCCATTTGCTTATTTGCTTTTTTGTATAGTTTCAGGCAGGCTCTTCCTAAACTATGTATTTTGTCAATGTTATTGTGGCTTGTTAACATTTTTATTTTTAATATTTTTATTGAGCTTTGTACCACGATTGTTTATTAGGAAAAATTGAAAAAGCAATAAAGTCTAAGTGGTAGAAGTTATAGCACTATTTAGGAGATCACCACAGCTCCTCATCAGACTTCTTTTTTTCCTAATAAACAATCGTGGTACAAAGCTCAATAAAAATATTAAAAATAAAAATGTTAACAAGCCACAATAACAGTGACAAAATACATTTTTTTTATATTTGATATTTTTAGCCATTCCACTTTTTTTTTCGTGCAACCCTGAGTGAGTTGAACGCAAAAGTTGCCTGAAAAATCGCCGCGTGCGAAAGCCCTATAAGAAAACAGTATGCTAATAAAAATGAAGTTTACAAAAGAAAAGGGACGTTCAGTGAGTGAGTGCGTTCACAAACCAGTGTTGTCCAATTTATCGACTTTGTTTGGTACAATGTATTTTTCAACACTCCCACTCATTGTTGCAAACAAAACGAAAACTTATGATGTCAACTCCATCAAACCACAGAGATATTTATGTCGACTCTTATTCAACGGCTTGGTAAGAATGTCCGCTATTTGTTCATCAGGGCTAAAATATCCCAAGTCGAAGCAACCATCTTGATACCTTTCTCTGATGAAATGGTATTGAACATCGATGTGTTTTGTTCTTTTGTGGAACACCGGATTTTTAATCAGATGTATTGCGCTCTGATTATCCATATACAATTTTGCATCCAAATCTGATCTCAATAACAGACCAGACCAGCTCCTTTATTGCTTGACATGCCGCAATATACTCAGATTCTATTGAAGATGTTGAAACAGATTGTTGCCTCATTGATGCCCAACTAATGACACCGCAGCCAATGCTGAAAACATAACCGCTTGTTGATCTTCTTGTTGCACTATCTCCAGCGTAGTCAGCATCGCTATATCCAACCAGATTCAGTTGAGTATCGCTTTTATAAAGAATACCCATTTGGATTGTGCCCCTCACATACCTCAGAATGCGCTTCACTGCATTCACATGAGCTGAAGTTGGCTTCTCGAGATACCGACTTACTGTCATACCTAAACAAAAGCGTCAGCGTTGTCTGGCTGTCAATAAATTCTCATGCCCATACAATTTGTATGAAGCATACCGAAACAACGCGGCTTCAACGCTGAGAGGTTGGAAAATCCGATTTTGACAGGGCGTTAGGTATTGAAGTTGGCTGCAGAAAATGGCAAAACTGTCATTTTCGTGTTACACACAAACAAACCTATGCTTATTTTTGGTGTTATTTCTGCATTTGACGTAGCGTTGACGCTTTTGTTTAGGCATGGCACTTCGGCGCTAACGCTAGGCTTCAAAAACCGCTCCGCCCAACGCTTTTGTTTAGGTATGGCAGTTACAACGCCGACGGCATAACTTATATCTGGACGTGTCCCGGTTGCCAAATACATTAAGCTTCCTACTGCTTCTCGGTAGGGGTAGGCTGTGTCTCCCTCGTCATTTACGAAATCGCCAAGATTCTGATTGTGATCCATTGGTGTTGACACAATTTTACATTCTATCATGCCAAACCGATTCAATATTTTCTTGGCATAAGCACCCTGGTGTATGTGTATTGATCCATCTTGAAGCTGTTGAACCTCGAGACCCAAAAAACGATTTACATCTGAAACTTGTATCTCGAACCTTTCGCGTAGATGTAAAATAATTGCATCGACTTCACCTTTGTCGTTGGTTACTATTAAACCATCATCCACGTAAATTGCAATTACTGTCATTGCACCATCTTTGTAGCGAGTGAATACACATGCGTCCACATTGCGACGAGAAACGACGTAAATTCCCCGTTCCAGCACCGTGACGCCTGCTTCAGACCATACAAACTTTTATTCAATTTACATACACGCCCACTACCATCGTTATATCCAACCGGTTGTCTCATGAAAATATGTTCTTTCAGGTTTCCATACAGGAATGCAGTCTTGACGTCAACTGCTTTAACTGCATTTTATTCATTGCTGCCAATGATAAAATTGCGCGAATCGATGTGTACTTAACTACGGGGCTGAATGATTCCTCATAGTCCACACCATATTGTTGCGTGAAGCCACGAATTACCATACGAGCTTTGTATCTTTCGATTGAACCATCTCTATTCTCTTTCAATTTGAATACCCAGCGATTGTCGATAACCTTTTGCCTTTCAGGTGGTTCAACCAAATCCCAGGTGTTGTTCTTGATTAACGAATTGTACTCTTCCTCCATTGCACGCTTCCACTGCTCTGCATTTGTCGATTGCACTGCCTCTTCATATGTTACCGGCTCAATCACGGTCGCAGAACATACAGTTTCAATCAAACGCTCTGGGGGCTTGATTTCTTGTCGTAATTCATACCTTTGGTTGTTTCTTTGGCCTACGTTGTCTTCTTGTGCGTCTTCAAAATGATCATCATCGCTGGTAACAGCTTCACTATTTGGTGCTTGATACCGAACAATTACCTCCTCTTCACTATCGGAGCTGTCCCGAATTACGAACCTTTTTGAATCAACTTCATGGAAACGAACATAACAGCCGAGAAAGATCTTTTGGTTCTCTGGATCATATAAGCGAAAATTCTTGATAGTGGGCTCAAAACCAACTAAATGCACCTTTTTTGCCTTTGGATCCCACTTCTTCCGACCCTTTTGCACTGGAACTTGTACAAAACATTCAGTTCCAAAGATCTTGATATGACCCAAGTATGGTTTTCGACCAAACCATTTTTCGTATGGTGTGCTGCCAATACACTTGCTATTTGTTGTACGATTCAACAAGTATGTGGCTGTTCGTACCGCCTCAGGCCATAAAAACTTGGACAACCCGCTTGCAATCAGCATGGTTCTTGCACTTTCCTGGATGGTTCTATTTTCTCGTTCAACTCGACCATTCTGTTCCGGGGTATATGGTGTGATGTATTCAATTTGAATGCCTTCATCGCTGAGTAATTTCTTGACCCTTTGATTCACAAATTTCGTCCCATTATCAAAACGAACGAATTTGAGCACCATTCATATTGCGAGCCATGGGGATAAACGATTTCAAACATTCATATACCTCATCCTTGGTCTTCAGCAGATACGTAAATCGAAAGGTTGTTGCTTCGTCTTTAATCAAAAAATAATAATTGTAGCCGCCAATTCCACTCTCTTCCATGGGACCGCGCACATCCATATGTAAATACTCCCCCGGAACCGATGAACATTGTCGTTGAGGCAATCTTTTATGTGATGATCTGGACATTTTACCGAATTGACAGTCTTCGCAGAAAAAATGTTCGCTGTCCGACAGCTCGACACCCATTACTAGACCATCTTTACACATCCTTTTGATAGACTCAACATTGATATGACCCTGACGACGATGCCAATGTTGAAGTGATACAGCCGCTACATTCGCATATTCATCTATGCGCAAACGAAAATCCATTCGGAGCTGATTCATTTCGTTAAGCTTACCGGTTGCAACAATTCTGTTAGCTTTGTCGATTATTCTGCAACCATTTTTGTCGATTAATACAGTTGAACCTTTTTCCGTCAATAATGCAGTTGAAAATAAATTTTCCTTAATCTTTGGTACGTATAAAACGTTTTCCAAACGACGTGGCTCCCACGGATTGTTTACCCTTGCATCGATTAGAATTGTGCCAATTCCACGTATTTCTAAGCTGAAGCGATCGGCTAACTTGACCGTTTTATTTCCGGTGTAATATTTTAACTCTGTAAACCATTCACGACGGGAAGTCATGTGGCTTGATGCACCGGAATCAGCACACCAAAAATCTGATTTTGATTCGTCTTTTCCGTCCGAACTTACAACAGAACACCATGAAACCTCATTGCCACCTGAATCTGCCTTCTTTTTGCTTCCACTGGATGCAAATTTGTGCTTTGGACATTTTTTGTCCTTTGCCCAATGTCCGGTCTGGCCACATGCATTGCATTTGGTTTTCTTTTTTAAATCGTTTATGTTAAATTTTGATTTTGGTTCAATTCAGTTTTTCGTTTATGCATTGCTGCAAATGCTGCATCTGATGTGGAGACTTGTTATCCGCTAATGCGGTTTAAATTGTCCTCTTCTAACTGCAGTGATGACATCAACGTATCAAGTGTGCGGGTGTCTTTGGTATTATACCAAACCGTTTTGTAGTTGTTGAATTTAACCGGCAGACTGCTAATTATACGCATCATTTTCAACGTGTCAGACAATTTCTCGCCTTGCTGCTCGATTTCAGATGCCAACTGGTTCACTTTGGCAAAGTATCCGGCAACTGTTTCATCATCCGCCATTTTGAGCGAGAAATATTCTTCGTAAAGTGTCATTATGCGAATTTCGGAATTCTTTTCGTAGACACTGCTTAACTTTTACATCATTTCTTTTGCTGTGTTGCATGCCAATACAAGACTTGCACGCTCTGTGTCTATTGATTGAATTATCGCGTTCATTGATTTTCCTTCATTTCGCTCATATTGCTCTTTCTCCAGGTCTGGAGCGTCTTGTGCTGGTACTTTTCCATGTATATTGTCGGTTAGACCACGTGCCCTAATGTACGCGGTTATTTGAAATTTCCATAGCCTATAATTTGAACCATTTAATTTGTGTCCGACGAAGTTAGTTTCCTCTCTTTTGTCTGCAAAAGAATCCATTTTTAAATAAGAAATTCAAGGCAAAATATTTGAAATAAATATACGACGATATTTTCGTTTTTCTTGGAATCCACTGTTTCGTCTTGCTTTTCTTGTAATTCGATGACGGCGATCGAATATACTTTTAGTGTATACCGTACGATAACTGGACGTAACGGGTAACCGTGACTTGCAAATATTGCACACAATTGTGAAATACACCTGTTGTTTTTACGGCGATGATTTCAGATTAATTTTCCACCACTATTGTTTTTTTTTTTTGTTTTCAAAACTCTGTATACTCAGTCTCAATTTTTTTCGATGCAAAAACTTTTCCATGTACGCTTCGACGAGACGACTTGATGAAAAAAAAAAGTTGTGCATACACCTAACACTGCTCGACGACGTGATCTGATCTTAATTTATTCAATTGGAAGCTTCTTGGTCCATAACCTGTTGTAGATTATTGAGAATAGCGAAGATTAAGCCAATAGATAAATGATAATCGAAATAAAATTGTAGACCTTTTATTTGAGAAAATATAGTTCGCTTTTATGGAAAGTTTCTTTATTTGGTGTTAACCGCTTGAAAAATTGTCGCTGAAAGTAAAAAGGTGTTCGCACGAGGCGATTTTGCGGAAAAAAAGTTGAATGGCTAAATGTTGGCTGGCGACCAACTTTGTTGAAAGCGATTAAATGAAAGGCCGTTCAACCAAAAGTAGAATGCAAAGTTGGACAATGCAAACGCCTTTTTATGGCGAATATTTTGATATTTTTTTTTAAATATTTTTATTGAGCTTTGTACCACGATTGTTTATTAGGAAAAATTGAAAAAGCAACAAAGTCTAAGCGGTAGAAGTTATAGCACTATTTCGGAGATCACCACATCTCCTCATCAGACTTCTTTTTTCTAGACTTCAGCAGGGATCGAACCTGCGAATTCGATGTTCAAAGTCAGAAGCGTTAACCACTGAGCTATGTACATCCCGTAAACTCTTGTTGCTAATTCATTTTCCTTATTCAACCAACTACTATCAAGTGCAGCTGATTTGCCGCTATTTAAACTCGACAGCGTGGTTGTTGTTGTCAATTCTATACATCCATTTGCTTATTTGCTTTTTT